ACGATAGTGGCGAATGAATAACAACGGTCAACAGAAAATTTTATTGTAAAGTTTTTCACTGCTCTCTCAATGGGGCGTGGCGTGAACCTCCTCTGCATGCACTTACGAAAAATTGATTATTAAAGGAAGCCGTTCACCTCACAACTGATTTTCTTGCGATACCGAAAAGTCACGATTCATATTGTTAGCTGCTATGCGACGTGCAGCACACAGTAGAATAATAACATGTGGATGAAATTTCGAAAAAGCAGGTTTCCATGGCAAGAATTAGTTAGCCCTATAATTCCGATACAAATAACTGGCGGCGAGCGCTAATATGCATTATTCAGTCCTGCATTTCATCGTCCTAGCCGCGTGCTGGCTAGCAATACACGGAATAATCGTGGGTGTGGTCAGGATCGACACTATAACGCGCCCTCTCGTGCTCCGCGTTACGCAGCAGCTGCACGGCGCGGCCCAACATGATCCGGCTCCAATCGGTCAGCACCCGATACCCGCTGTAGTCGCTACCCGTGCTGTATTGCCAGTAGGTACCGGTGTAGCCGATAGGGGACATGCCGTTCCCGCTGTCCGCCCGCAGCAGCGCCTCCACGCTCTTGGCCGTAAACGTGTCCTGGGCGTATCCCATCGCCTGGCGCAGAGTGCTGCGCTGGCTACTGCTCCGGAACTCCGGCATGCGGTCCTCGTAACGCGCCACGGCGATCTTGGCGGCCAACGGTCCATCCCGGAGCAGATGACACACCACCGCCCGGAAGTAGGCACGGAAGCCAATAGTTTGGTCGGCATACACCCGGCGTCCGGGTTCGGAAACGCGTAGTAGCCCGCCATCAACGCGGTGTCGGCCATGTTGCGCTCGGCCACCTCCTCGAAGATGGCGATGGCCCGTGTGCAGTGACCTCGGCGCGCCTCCCAAGCGGCCACCAGCAGCCAGGTCATATCGGTGTTGTAGTGGCCCACCGCCTCTCCGATCTCGTACAGCCGGGCCGCTTCTTCGAAGTACCGGATCCCGGCGTCCATGTCCCGCGGTACCACCAGCTGCCGCAGGGACGCGTAGTGTCCGGCGGCCGTGAAGAAATCCCCGGCGGTCGTTAGGAGGTCCGCACCCGTCTGCAGACAGGTCACGGCTTCGTGGTGGGCGTCCGCTTTCAGAAAGCAGTGGCTAGCCTCCAGCAGCAGACCGCTGGCCGTGCTGAGCGGGCGCTGGTGGTCGGGGACGGGCCGGTGTTGTCGTTCACCGGCGCCTTCAGCTGCCCGGCGTGGCGGTAGGCGATGCCGGCGTCCTGCCATTGGCGGGCCAGTTTATAGAAGTTGCCGGCTTTCGGTACAGATTGCTGGCTTCCATCAGGTCGTTGCGCTCGACCGCCCTGCAGGCGGCGGTCATTAGGAAGCGAGCGCGGTGCTCCGTGGATGACATGGTGCGTGCGCTCATCCTATATATCACATATTAGCAATAAACATAATAATAAAAAATTATATAAAAAGCGGAATAAATATTTTAAATGCTTAGTAACGGCTGATTGGCTAATCGCTGTGCTCGGTGCAAATAATAATTAACTATCAAAATTAATATCAATGCGAGTTTATGTTGCACATTACTTTAAAAAAATATGGAATTAGGTAATGTAAGAAAGTAATGAACTGTATAAATCAAACGCCGCGAAATAATTTGGGGCCGACTGAATGTACCTAAAATCCAGTAATTTGCTGTTTTTCCCAACACACAATAATCCGTGGAGGAAGAAAAATGTTCCCTTAAGTAAATTCGGATGCGACGCAAACAGCTTACTTGTAATAAGCGCCAACAACAATCCAAAAATAAACTCTGCAAAAGATTCGAGCACGGGCAACCTATGGATTGTGACCTCTATAAATGTACAACTGCACAGTACTGAAGTCACGGTATTATAGTCACAATAAATGGAGTTTAATCGGAAATGAAATCTGAGGAATGAGAAGGCAACTGCAGGGCAATGGAGCGGAGTGCAAAACGCATAGGACGCCAATGGAGAATGCTGTCGGTTTCCTTTTCACCTCAAATCTGCTCTTAGGTAAGAATCATCACAGACAGGGATGAGCGTAACTTGCTGGTGTATATACTTGTACAGAATCGAGTAGAATCATCGCAGGAGCGAAATGTCTTGTCATAATAATTCTCTCTCTGTGTTCTTGAAGTATGTCTTTTTCTCTGCCTCATTTATGATTCGGTAGAACAAAGCAGCCTGTCTGATGCATTGTTGTAGCCATCTTCCATGGGATTATCGCACAAGTTTACACACCGAGGCTGACTGAGCCGGCTGTCTGAGCGGTCTGCCTATTCCATAAATTTCATGGCGAATTTTTGCATTGTAGATATGACTAGAAAACTGTGCTGGCTGGTTCTTTGGCAGGCCTTGTTGGACGGAATCCGAGTCTGAGCAAGAACTCTAAATACAACCAAATTTCAAGTACTTCGTCTAAGCACGTGAAAACGCATGGTTTATTTGCTTTTGCTGCTGTGCGGGATCGATGAGGGTGTCGGCAAGTAGATCAGGTAGGCTTTCGCCTTAAAAAATGCCTACGAATTACGATAATTTATTTTTATCGGCGGTCGGTGGAAATTCCGCCTGTAATTATTATTATATATCTTGTACAGATATGTCGTTACAATTATCAATATTCCATTTAGATCCTGCGAAAGCAAGGCGTTGCCGTTTTGTTAGAGGTGCTGAGTAAAGTCACTGTTTATTCTAATGCACATTATTTGGATAATACAGTAATTAAGAAAGGAAGCTCGAACTGGAAATCAGGGTACATTAGTCTGTAGTAGCACGAGTTCTTTTTTATCTGCACAACGGATGTTTGATTTCACAGTTTGTACCGAACAGATTTCAACCGCATCCTAATCCTTCTCCCATGCCTATCAACCCAGCCCGCTTTGCCCCTTTGCAGGGCTTCCATCCCAATGATTCGAGTGCCATGAGTGGTGTAGCCGCCATGCCGCCTGGACCATCGATGGTGAGAAGAATGCCACCACAAACATGGTCGGCATTCGTCGCATATTCGTTACTAACGATGTTGTCATTGCAGAATGCCTTCCCAGTCGTCTGGCGGGGACAGCTATCGCTCATGAACGACCAAGCCTGGGTTCGCATGCACATCATTTCAGGGAATCCAGAATTACCGCGGCTATCGCTTCCTGGATGTCCGGATCCCTCTCACAATATGCTGGCGATATCGCAGCGTATGCCCATGGAGCCGGCCCACCTCGCTTGTGCCTCGTCTCGAATGAACGTACGTTCTGGAATGAATGATGTATAGAGGTGTTCGTTGAGCCGATTTGCTTCATCGGCTAATATGTATTGTAGCGATAGTATTTGTACGAACGATAAGACCACCCAGTTATGATTCATCATTCCATCGCGTTATGAATTTGTGTCCACATTACCGGCTGGTTTCCCTTCTCATGAATTTCTAGACTTCAGTCTTGTACTCAGCTTGCTACAGCTTGCATAAACTTGATCAACATTTTCCTTATCTCTTGCCCTAAGGCTTTCTCTTGTTATTAAACATGCCTTGAGTTACGTTGCTGCGTGTAACCGCTTGGGATGAACCTGTGTCATCCCAACTGGAGCCACCTGTGTAATTGTGTTACATCAGTAAGAGCGTCCTCGGCAAGCATCGTTGCCGGCCATGGCACCTTTCATCCTAACAGCCGCATACTCGTGGTAACGGCTGATCGCCAACCCACTAGAACAGCAGCCAGATCGGCTGCTGTTACAGTATCATTTCAATTTTTTTCACAGGATGCAGACGCGCACTGTATATTAGTGGCTTGTGCCAGTGGAAATTTGGCTACGGAACAAGCTCATCAGGAGGAAAGGTTACGCACTGGATTTGCGGAGTATCTCTCGGCAAAACAGGCAGCTGGCATCGTTTGCATGGCCCCGCACGGCCCGAATTGCCCGGTACGGAATAAGAACACTCATGATGTCTATTGTCAGCCGCAGTGTCGATAGTGTATCTGTACAGCATCATAACAACTTATTTTGCAGATACAGTATGTAATTCACATCTTCCCACCGTGCGCCTTTTCCCGTCAGACCTTGGCCCGCTTTGGACCCAATCTTATGCAGACCATAGGGCAACTGCCGCATCTTGTTCTTGTCATCACGAAACGCATGGTGTAATTAGAACGCCGGCCAGCTTCCAGTGGGACTAACGATCTTGGATGCTCTTTTCAACTTGCTCCTATTGAGTAGTTCACAATTGTGCAGGCCTATTTGATATTATGTGAACTGGCTGACGTCGAATAAAATTGCATAAAGCTCCTTTTACTCGTATGCTTTACTTTAATTTTTCTCAACAAGGAGTTCACGATTCGCAACCACATCCGTACTCGGGCACGCGTAGTAACTGCAGTTCGACACGTTGTCGAACTATAAACGCTATAATGGTAGATTGGTAGTCTCTATCCAAGTGAGGCTTGCTTTGCGCGACAATCCCTGTTTTTCAATGTCGGGTCCTCCATTTTAATTCTTCCTTGTCGATCTCTCGGGATAAGATTCTCTGTGAGGTTGACAAATTTATTGCCCAACAAACAAAATGCCGGTTAAGATGAACAGCTAACCGTACATAATACTGCGTCGGATGCAACAATAGAAATGCAATATAGAGCACGTTATTCAGCAGTCAGCCGCCATCGGATAAGAAAATTAATAATACACAGAGCGGCGACGGCGTTTGAGGATACTAACGATAGGAATTCAAACAGTAACGGGGAGCAGTTCAAGAACAACTGGTCTTACGGCGCTGCGGGGACATCGCGGCTCGCATTGTTGCACGACATGACACTTTAACGGCTACGCTGGATAAAAAGGTCACGATCATGGTCACGTCTCAAGTCAACGCCGCAGTCTTCGACAGCAGGAATGAGTGAGACCTATTGCACAAATACACGTAATGGAATTCGCACACGCTAACATGCGGTTCGGTATTCGGTTAGGCCAGTGCCCGGTGCCTCATTCTCCGAGGAAAATCGTGGCGCCGTCATTCACGCGCACGGTCGTATTCGGTAGCCCACAGCCGCTGCAGTGCGCGGCCCATCATCATCCGGCTCCATTCACTCAGGAGGCGGTAGGCGCGGTAGTTACTCGGGGGGCTCCCCGCGGCGCACTGCGCAACGATTCCGCTGCTCGCGGCGTCGGCCGTCAGCAGCTGCTCGACGTTCTTCGCCGTAAACTGATCCTCCGCGTGTCCCATCGCCTGGCGCAAGATGCCGCGCTGCTGACTGCTGCGGAATGCCGGCATCCGGTCCTCGTAGCGCGCCACGGCAATCTTGGCGTCCAACGGTCCATCGCGGACGAGGTGGCACACTACCGCCCGGAAGTACGCGTAGTAGGCCATGTCCGCGTTGGCGTACAGGCGAGCGCCGACGCCGGTAGTGGGGAAGGTGAAGTAGGTGTCGGGGGCGTTGGCCGGGGTGTTGCGCTGGCCAACGTCTTCGTAGATCTCGATAGCCCGCTTGTAGTACCCTTGGCGCGCTAATAATTCGGCCACCGTCAGCCAAGCCCGGTCGGAGTGGTAGTGACCCGCCGACTCCCCGATCTCGTACAACCGGGCCGCCTCCTCGAAGTGCCCAGTCCCGGCGTCCATGTCCCGTGGCACTACCAGCTGCCCCAGGACGGCGTAGTGCCCGGCGGCCGTGAAGAAGTCCCCGGCGAACGTCAGGAGTTCGGCCGCCAGCAGCAGACAGGTCTCCGCCTCGCGGTGCTGGTCCGCTTTGACGAAGCAGTCGCTGGCCGTCGTCAGCAGACCGCTGGCCGTGCTGAGCGGGGCGCCGGTGGTCCGGGACGGGCCGGTGCTGTCGTCCGCCTCCAGCGGCGCTTTCAGCTGGCCGGCGTCGCGGTAGGCGACGCCGGCGGCCTCCCATTGGCGGGCAATTTTAAAGAAGTTGCCGGCGTTGCGGTACAGATTGCTGGCTTCCAGCTGGTCGCCGCGTTCGGCCGCCCGGCAGGCGGCGGTCATTAAGGAGCGTGCGCAGTGCTCCGTGGAGGGCATGGTGCTGTACGCGGAGTGGGCTGCTCGCGTACTCATCCTAAAGATTATTATAACCTTAGCAAACGTACTGTAACAAAAATATGTACATAAAAGCGTATCAACCATTTTTAAATGTAGCGGCTGGCCGTTAGCCATAGCATCTGCACCGAACGAGCTTTACATATAGATCTATATAGAGCGAGTTTACGAGAAACAGAATTATGTATTATGTACAAGCATAAATTTTAATGTATTGGTTTAGTCGAAGTGGGAAACTACGTTTGGGTTTATTGTTGTAGATTTTCATTTTATAAAATGTGTCCTTAACGAAAGCCGGGAAAGCCTGGCTTATTGTCCCACCTCACTGCACTCGCTCCAAAAAATAATTCACCAGCAATGCGAGCAACTTTGTATTTATGCAATAATGTAACTTGCAAAACCGTGTAACGTATATCAACCGAAAAAATTGCAAAAGACGTTAATCATATCAAACGCAGAGAATTCTGGGCAATCTCCAGGCAAAATTAATAAACTGTTGTTTCCAAGTGTATGTACTCCGAATAAATACGTACTATCTTGATAACAATTTTCGGGTGTGGCTCTAACAGCTTACCTGTAATTAACGTCGGCAATTATGCAGAAATCACGCTGCAGTGGATTCGGACGGCCTGTGGATGATGACCTACACAAAATCAAAAATGAACGCCTTGGAATGAGAAGGCTGTAAATAAGCTCAAGTAGCAGGGCAGTCGAGCAGAGTGCAAAACGCACAGGACGCCAACCAAAAATGCTGTCGGTTTCCTTTTTCGCCTCGAAGCGGCTCTCAGGAAAGAATCATCAGAGACAGCGATGGCGCAACTTGCTGGTGCATACTTGTGCCATGCTTGGGCACAATAGAATCCATGCACAGGGGCGAAAGGCCGGTTAGGAATTCTCTCGGTCTGTGTCCTTGCTCTACCTCCTTTAATGAGTATTAATTGAGTAGTAATTGACTGATTCGGTAGAAAAAGCAGTCTGTCTGATGCAGTGTTACAGCACCAGGGTGTTTTCTCTAGAATTCATATCGAACGTGCGTGGTATTAATTACTAAATGACTACGCTGATCGGTTATTGAGCAGGCCTGGAATCCGAGTCTAAGCACTGCACAAAGCTCGTTTTTTTAAAAATATTTTTGTGCGGAATCGGGATGGCGGGGTCTGCAAGCATAGCAGGTAGGCTTTCTTTTCAAAATTCTTACCATTATATGTATTTATTCGTCCACGTTATGCGATAATTTCCACCTGCAACTGTTATCATTTATTTTCTACCTCGTTACAATTATAAATGTTTTGCCCATAATTGCTTTCCGTATACGTAGGGGGGACCGGGAGTGCCAGTGGAGACGTCGAGCCGGCAGGCGGCAACAATGCGAACGTGAATTTCCTGTTTGTCACAACGGAAGTTAACACGGTTTAGAATTCCAGTTCATGCATGGGCGCTTTGCCACATTCGCTTTCCCGCACTCCCCAACACTTTGGTGTATGGTTTGAAGGTTTCATGACATTAGACAGCCAAAACAATTTCTGCAGAAATGATGGCGGACTGGTGCCCATAACATCCACTTGGCGGTTTCGAAGTTAGCACTTCAGAAAACCGGAACATGGCACCAAATTCGTGTACATACACGAAAACTCTCACGTTCGTGCATTCTCAAACATTTCCTTTAAGTGCAGTATTAATGCAAACGTTTAATCGCATACAGGCGTGCCAGAAGTCCCATTGCGTACCGATCTGAAATTACTGTACATATGTATAATATTACATAATAATAATATCTATATGTACAACATCGTATACAGCTGTTTTGTATTATGGTTTGCTTGTCATTTGCCACGGTTTCTGGTGTCAGTATTTAAATCACTGACCAGGCTGCGGTATTCTAATAACGGCAATTTGCTGATCATATGCCTTATGGTTTGTCTATTATAACGCGGGGCCGTATGGGCGCCACGCGTATCCTCGACAGCAAAACAGCGGTGAACTGACAACGGTACAATCGCTAATGAGGTGTGATTTCGGCTCTATTGTGTCATTTGGAATGAGACATTCCGCAAGGTTAAGCATATGCGTCTATGGGAAGTGAAATCCACATCAGTGAAATCCACATTGCAACGAGTATACCCTCTTCTACCTGTTTTTTTCTAAGTACGATCAAAGAGAACTTATTCAGCACAAAATTTACTACAAAACTAAACTAATCTTAACAATTTTAGCAATGCCAGTAAAATGTCACACTCCGTTTTCTGCAAAAGCAAACAATGTCCCAAGTTATAGCTCTTGCCATATACACGTGGCCAGGGCGGCGACTTCGCTGTACTTGAATGGCTTTTGATCTACTCTTGTACAGAACTTGTGATGTGTGAGCGTCGTTTATTTGTCGCTACAACCTTTGTGAAAAACGATTTATGACCAGTTTTTACTTTTTAGCAATAACATACATCGTATGTTCACTTACAGTTGTTAGAAATATTAAATTATATTTACGACTTATGTAATATACGATATTAGCACTTTTCTACGATTTATTACCCATTTTTGAAATTTTATACAAAACTGAACTAGTTTTGAGAATTTTAAGCAGATTGTTAGAGTGTCGAGTAGTAACAGCAAGTACTAACATTACTCTGTAACATTAAGTACTGGATATCTCAGTCATAATCAAACTGGCTAATACAACCAAAGCTAAAAACAATCGTCGTTAATTCACATTCTGTTTAGAAAATTTACTGGAGCATACTTACTTACTGTAAGCACAATTCAAAAATACGACAACAGATTTGCACAATGTCAGTGCAGAAGCATGGTTAGATTACTTCCATACATATGGAAGTATAACTTATTTAGCTGTTGTTATAGTAAACAACAATAAATATATATAATTAAAAGGAAAACGACATTAAGCGAAGTTGTTTGATCTGATTCCGAATGAAGTTTTGCATATGCTTGTAAAGCAGTCCTATATGTATCGCGCTACTGTCTCATTTCAAATGACAATGGCTAGGCACGCTGCGCCTGGTATACCCTCGGCACGCCTGATTGTACGGTTGTCAACTCGGATGAGGCTTTAATGCCGAAATCTAATGCGCACCGTGGCGCAGCAACACCAGACTAACAAGGAAGGATTCTGCAGCCAGTGCAACTGTGCTGCAGATCCGTCAAAACAGCGCAGAAATTTGCGGGGTGGAAATCCCCAGAAAGAGCGAATAGCTACTCAGGAGGGCGGGGCGTCCCGCCCTTACAGAGTACACTATACCATCGCTCGTGGTTTTTACAGTGTATATGCAATATTGCAGGAAGATGAGGAACGGGAGCAAGTTCTTGCGGAACTGATCGCCATTCGAGAACGTTTGCTGGAGTTGGATGCGTTGTTGGACAAACACGTTGCTCGTGAGCGAAGACGCCGTCAGTGTACCATTTTGTAGCGATGGATGTCATGACGGAAGGAACTGCGAACAATTTTATAGCATCTCTTTCTGTAAAAGGTTTTTCAGTGCATCACTGCGGATTTCGTTGTGGCAAATTCTTGTTGCAACTTCGGACTAATTTCTATACAATAATCCTTATTCACGCGTTTTTATAGCAATCGTTAACCGTGTTGCATAAACGTTAGCTTGGCTTTGTCAAAGATATTTTTGCCGGTTTCTCTCCGAAAAAAACAACTGATCAATAATTTTCATAAGTTTGCAAATGTTTTGTGGAACGAAACGCCTGCTTTTGTCACCGGAATGGACAACACTTAACATGCAGTAATTAAATAAAAAGATCGAAGAATGTTTTCGATTTGCGTTCTGTGCGGAGGATAATTTGATGAATACGGGCTGTTGTCGAAGAAATACAGACACTCGCAAGTCGCAAGTACAGATGCTACGTACTGCACTAACGCACATTACACAGCATAATTAAAAGAAATCAGAACGAGATTGACGAAAGCACATATTTGGCTTAACAATTAACACTTTATACATCCTCATTATACGAAATCGTACGTAGTCGTAATAAGATATCGGATAGTAAAGCGAAAGCGGCCCGCTTACGAATATCCCTGCTTGGCGGAAAGGTCGCAGCTCACACTTCTATCGCGCATATATATCGGAATATACAGAAAGAAGAAAAAAGCATTATTCGTTTGCTTTGCGCGTTTGTCCGTTTTCAGCATCATGAAGCTGCTCCAGCGCAGGACCCAACATCCCCCGGCTCCACTGGGTCAGGCTCAGGTAGGCCATGTGGCCGCCGCCGTGGTGGTAAGCGGTGCCGTATCCCTTCTTCGAGTTCGCGGCGTCCGTCTTCAACACCTTCTCGAGGCTCTCCACCGTGAAGGCGTTCTCCGCGCCGCCCATCGCCTGGCTGATGATACCGCGCAAAGCACTACTGGCGAATCCCGGGTGTCGGTCCTCGCAGCGCACCACGGCCATCTTGGCGGCCAGCGGTCCGTCGCGGCACAGATAGCACAGCACCGCGCGGAAGTACGCCGCGCTGGCCTTCTCCGGGTCCAGCCAGGTGTGGGCCCGGAAGTAGTCGGTGGCGAAGGTGTAACGGTCCTGGATCTCGTGGACGGTCGCGTCGCGGAGGTTGGCCTGGGCCACGCCCTCGAAGATGGTGATGGCGCGCTGGTAGTCGCTCTGCCGCGCCGCCAACTCGCCAACGGTGAGCCACGCCTTCTCCGCGTTGTCGCTTTTGAACGATTTGCTGGTGGCCTCGTACAGGCGTGCCGCTTGTTCAAAGTAGAACATCCCGCGGTCGAGGTCCCCGGCCGCCACCAGCTGGCCCATGGAGATATAGTGCCCGGCGGCCGTGTTGAAGTCCCCGGCGTCGATGAGATGCGTGGCCGCCGCCTGCAGACAGTGTACTGCGTCGCGGTGGTTGCCCGCCTTGAGGAAGCAGCTACTGGCGCCCTGCAGGAGCCCGCTGTCACTGCCCCGTTTACGCGGCGCCAGGCGGGCGGCCTCCTGGTAGGCGGCGCCGGCGGCCTGCCACTCCCGGTCCAGGTAGAGCCAGTGGCCGGCGCGACAGTACAGGTCGCGGGCCTCCTGTCGGTCGCCATGCGCCGCCGCGGTGCGGGCGGCGGTTAGCAGGCGCTGAATCCGGCGCTCCTCCGACGGCATGGTGTCGTACGCAGAACGGGGTACTGGTGCGTACATCCTAAAATAAATCACAGTAACATGTACAGATCGTACGCACTCCTAATACATAATTATGTATTCGTACACATAGGGGTGTTTGTTAACCACGGCCTTTGCAGCGAGTGATTTCTATACCCACTGGAAAAGCGAATTTCTTCTGGTGGGATTAAGAAAGTGTTACGGGACGCTCTTTGTGGCCATAGACAAATGTTTGCTCTAATTACGGTCCTAAGCACCTCGCTGCGCTCGACGCAAACGAACAGCCACGTGAGGAATAATCTTTAAAATATTCTACCGGTATAGTAATTTTCCTAAGAAAAATAATTAACGGGAAAATTGCAAGCTAAAAACAAATGCAAAATGTAAAATAATTCAGCTTCGCCTTCTTCGTGCACGATGATCCCGATACTACAAATAATCTATGTAACTGCTGCATCATATTCTTACCTGGATTTGATAACAAGATTTCCCGGAAAGCCCTCTGTATCTGTATTAGAACTGGACAACAGGTGCTCTGACTGGTGACCTTTAGTCGCACAAATGACAATAGTGTCCTGTTTATAAAACTGTCGGTAATTTGTTTAGAAGCTTTCGTAACTTACAGATTAAAGCTTGCCCAGAAGAAGGCTGAAAAGCACTTATAGGCAGTGCAAATAGAGCGGAGTGCAAATTACAGCAGAACGCCAAAGAGTTTCGTCTGACTGAGTTGTAACCGATAGGGACACAGAGAGCGAACAAAGAATGGTGGTCTGCTTCCCTTCGCCTCAGTGTGCCACTGTGCGCTTGGATAAAATAACCGACTGAGGATGATGTCATGGAGTCGACAAAGTGGAATTTTATTTCTCTCGCTCCTTCTCTTCCTCTCTCGTTCGGTTGTTCACTGTGGAGTCTACCTAGTGTCTGTCGGTCTGCAGCGGTCTTGTAGGAGCTTCATTGTAGCGGATGAATGAATTTTTTTTTCTTTTATTCGGCTTCGGCCAGCATACATAATAAATCGCCTGCGCAGGTTTACACTAATTAAAAGCATCAAATTTTTAAACATTAAAAAAACATCCAAAATCGTTAGTGTCACGCATGATCTTGGGACGTGCGTTAAGTGAACCCAAAACAGCTGCTGCATTTCCACGGACTACCGCTAGACTGAAACGTTACATTATGGATGAATGAATTCCTGTGCATGTGAACCATTACCCGTTTACGCAACCAGCTGCACGAAAAACAAGCAGCGTGTTGAGTGTCAAAAGGATTTTGAAAGTACTACATTTATTTTATGCGGAATCAATGGCAGACGGCAGTGTAGGTTCTGCCCGGGGATCTCGGTGGGAATGCCGAACCGGTAACCTTCGCCAATGTAAGTTATTTTCTAAACCAGGAAGTTAATTGCTTCCAACCTCAACAGTCCATGTTCATCCTTATGACGACCTGCGACTTCTTCCGTATTGCCTGTAGCTGTAATTACGAGTCATATAGTTAGAAAGCAAATGCTACAAAATTATTTAAAAAATTCGTTTCCCGAGATTGTTCCCAGTCTGCAGTCTACATGCAGTTTCCGTCCGTTGTTGCTGGGCTGGGATTATTATGTGTATCTGAATGCGGAACTGGCTCGCCGTCGGGACCTGCGCGCGATCAACGACTCCGAGCGGCTGCGAAAAAACGCGCTGCTGAGCAGCGCCGCCAGAGCGCACGCACCGGCTACCAGGAGACGATGAAAAAATGCCTCTGCTGTACGCTGTACCATCATGTTTAACGATGGATGTGTTTTGTCCGGATGATCAACCAAATTGCCATGCTTAACTTTTTCACTGTCAGGATTCTCACTCTGGAGGATCAACAAGCAGTTTTTCATCCGTACTAATGATGACATTAACCAATTATTTTCAAACGATCGCTAACTATGGTAGGTTGACCTTTATGGTTTCGTCGTTTCCTCCGTATAATAGTTGGTGCTAACAAATTTGCTCTGGCTGTAGATTTTGTTTAACTAATACTTGGGGCGCCGATAACAACTGTCGCTATCGCATAAGATTTATGACGATAAAGATTATTATGATCATTTGGCTCGTTAGTAGTCGTATACGTTCAAATCTGGTCCCGATAAAACCCAACAAAAGGAGTTTCGCGCAGTAGGAATCACGTCAGATCAAAACCATGAAATATGTATACAAGTAGCAAGGAAAACTTCGGAATTGACAAAAAGAACTTTATCCAGAGGACACTGTAGTTATTCCGCTGCGATAAAACTGACGCTCCGTGCAGTGCGGCCTCGGGGACCAGCGAACCCGGAAGTGCCGTGACGATGCAGCAGCCCGCACGGTCTTCCAGCGCTGCCTGTGGTTCGCTGCGCTCGGCCCAGCTGCAACCGACGATGCCGTCATAAATGCATCGAGGATGGTTAGACTTTATGGTAGTACTCTTTTCTACACCGTTTTTGCCGGCAACGATTGATCGTTATGTACAGTAATTTTTCAGGTGCCTATTATATTACATAAATCTTTTGTGAACTAAAAAAACTAAATAATGGCTGCTTCCGTCAGGGTATACGGTTAACAGTTATTGAATAAAAAACTCAGAGAATTTATTTTACGATTTCGCGTCCTTTGTGGAGGCTGATTTGATGCCAACAGGCTGTTGTCAAATAATTAAATACTCGTACATACAGATACAGTTGTACAACAATAACGCCCATTTTAACAATTAATAAGAAAGACCCGCACATTTAATATGGGATAACCGAAACAAAACTGGCAGAAAACACGAAAGGCCACGGCTAACGCTGCTATCGCGCGATAGAAGTACAGATAAAATTGTAATTTACGTGAAAGATAAGCAATTGCTGTTCGGAGTGCCCCATTTAACGCGTCTGTTCTTTCTCAGCGTCCCGCAGTTTCTCCACAGCACGGCCTAGCATCATCCGGTTCCACTGCGTCAGGCTCAGATAGGCGATGTAGCCACCGGCGTAGAGGTAGGCGGTGTCGTATCCCTTCTTCGTGTTTTCCGCGTCGGCCGTCAACACCCTCTCGAGGCTCTTCACCGTGAAGGCGTTCTCCGTGTCGCCCATCGCCTGGCGCAGGACGCCACGTTGCACGCTACTGGCGAAACACGAGAGTCGGTCCTCGCAGCGCACCACCGCCACCTTGGCGGCCAGCGGCCCGTCCCGGCACAGATAGCACAGCACCGCCCAGAAGTACGCCGCGGCGGCCCTCTCCGGGTCGTGCCAGGCGCCGGCGCGGAAGTAGTCGCAGGTGGCGAAGATGTGACGGTCGGGGGCGTCGTGGACGGTCCCGTCGCGGAGGTTGGCCTGGGCCACGCCCTCGAAGATTGTAATGGCGCGGTGGTAGTCGCCCTGGCGTGCCGCCAACTCACCGACGGACAGCCACGCCCTCTCGGCGAAGTCGTTTTTGAAACCGATGCTGGCGGTCTCGTAGAGGCGGGCCGCTTGTTCGAAATAGGCTATCCCGCGCTCGAGGTCCCCGGCCGCCACCACTTGTCCCATGGAGACGTAGTGCCCGGCGGCCGTGGGGAAGTCTCCGGCCTCCGCCAGCACCGTGGCCGCTGTGCGGAGACAGTGCAGGGCGTCGCGCTGCTTGTCCGCCATGAGGAAGCAGTGACTGGCTGTGCGCAGTAGGCAGCTGATGGTACCGGCATTGATTGGCTGGCGCGCCGCCGCCCGGAGGCGGGCGGCGTCCTGGTAGGCGGTGCCGGCGGCCTGCCATTCCCGGTCCAGGCTGAGCAAGTGGCCGGCGCGGCAGTACAGGTCGAAGGCTTCCCGCTGGCTGCCATGTGCCGCCGCGGTGCGGGCGGTGGTTAACAGGCGCTGGAGCTGGCGCTCCTCGGACGGCATGGCGTCATATGCGAAACGGGATGCTGGTGTTGTCATCCTAAAATCAATCACAGTATTCCAACTATGCTCTTCAAGCACCTCAACTCGAATTATTATTGTTTATCCTTAATACGCGATACAGCTCTTAAAGAGAGCAAACGATTCGGCTCTTAGAACCTCGCCGCGCTCGGCGCACATTAACATTCACATGGTGATAATTTTGGAAATATTCTGTTTGTCAGGAAAAGTTAAAGGAAAAACTGCGTGCTGCCAAACCGCAGGATAAATTCAAAATAATTCTGCGGCAAAAGGATCCAGAAGCAAAGAATAATTAAATTTTCGGTAGCACTCTACAACCATATTCGTTACCTGGAATTGGTGGCAAAAAGTCACCGAAATCCTTCGCTTCTGCAGCAGATTCGCACAACAGATTATAGTCAAGAATAAACTCAAGATGGTGACCTTTGCTCGCACAATTGACACTGAGATTGTCGTAATGTAGTCTATACTATAAAATCATGGATTAAAATTCGCCCAGAAAAAGACTGAGAAAGCACTAGGCAGTATCAATAGAGCGCAGTGCAAATTACGACTGACTGTCTTCCATAGCCTGTCTTCTCTATGTACTCTGTACAGAGCGCCAACAAAGAATACTGGTCTGTTTCAACGTGTGCTCCCGGGTAACATAACAGACTGGGATGATGTGACGTCTGAAGAGGCACGGCCGAAAAGAATCCTCACAAGAGCAGCAGGCCTGTTTCTCTCACTGATTCGGTTGTTTACGTCTGAGCTTGCCTACTAATACTGTCTACCTGTCTGATGCGGTCTATCAGTCTTATAGCCTCAACTGCAGGTCTGCTGGAGCGAATTACCGTGCGCATTATTATCTGGTAGATTACAGAGTATACTGTACTTGATAAAAAATTCCTGAGCATCTGAACTCATCCGTTTTTGCAATTAACCGCTCGAAAATCAAGCCATTTTGCAGAAGTGTTATTCTGTGCGGAATCCATGGCCGGGCCCCTTCTGCCAGGGAATCCCGGTGGGGACGCTGAACCGGTAACTTTCGCCAATGTAAGTCCGTTTTCCAAACCGGAAGTCTATTCTTCAGATTGTAATCAACTCAAAGATTTGTCAAGCGTAAGGACGTTAGCCGTTTTTTTGTCGCTTATGAATTCTCGATAAGTAGAAGTATTTCTTATAATCGAATCCTTTTAATCCTGCTTATTAATTATTGATATATTATATACATAATACAGTAGAACGATTTTTTTCATACCCGATCATTTTACATACAATTAGGATTTTTCTTAAATAGATCACCTCTACACTGAAGTATCCTAATTTCTAATTACAACAAAGTTTTTTTTAAAAAAATCGTTTTTATTGGTGAAAAACTTTGCCACGAAATTCAACCCATAACGAACGAAGTTTGTACTACTCGTAATTAGCCATCCCACAACACATACCCCAAACCCACATCTTCGGCGATTATTCAAGTAGCGCGTTACAAGGGTGGTAAACAGTACTAGTAACCGCTTGATAAAAACAAGTACAGTACATACGGAGTAGGTACGCAAACTGAACGAAACAACGAGGAAATCCGCAGTAACACTATGATTATTTTTCAAATCCGTGATTGTCGTTCGCCGTTTGAATAGTGAATGCCTTTGCAGGGCTGGGAGTATGTGGCGTAACTGCAGGCAGCACTGGCTCGCCAGCAGGCGATACGGGAACAACGACTGAAAGCCGCTGCTGAACGACGCGCTGCTGCTGAACAACGCCGTCAACGCGCACGCACCGGACCGAAGAAGACGACCACAAGCAAATATCTGTGTTGTACCATAATGTAACGATGGGTGTGTTGGTTCGGATTCTCAACAAGTTTGGTACTGCATTTCTTTAGCTTTTTCTTAGCGTCGTGATGCTCAATTTAACGCATCAGCAGACCGCTGTGCGTTCTAATGGTAGCTTTAACCGATATTTCTTAAAAATCATCAAATGTGGTACTGTGACCTTTACCTGTTGTTTCTGTCGTTTGCTCCGGACAAAAATTGGTTAGAGAATTTCATCTGTTTAAATATATATTTGTTGAATTATAGTAATATACAGTATTTTGGACGCCGATGATAATTATAAGTTTCACGCCATCCAGCAGAATTTCTAATGATTATTATTACTTACAACATGCGAGCAGACGACCCATTATAAATTTCGAGCCTAATGGAAGAAAAACAAACAATTTCGTGGCAATCGAAACCCAGACCGATATGCAGACTAAGCCGTGATCTAAAGGTAGGCACAGAACTAGCATCAAGAATCTTACGATAAACAGAAAGAATTTTGCCCCGAGACACTAAGCACGAAGCCATTTTCCGATAGGCGACGCTAAGGCGGAAGAAAACCAATAATCCGCACAGTCGGAATTAGCGAACACGAAAGCGTAGTGACAAAAGACGGGCACGCATGGCCTACCGGCGTTGCCCGTGGACCTGGGCGTGCCCTGCAGCATCTGCTCTGCGCTCGGCCCAGTATCCACCGGGTCCGTTGACCTATAGCGCCACGGAAGGTGCCGGCCGAGGCCATCGCGGGATACCACCGCCCAAGCTGTTCGTGGGGATTCCGGTGCTCCATACAGGCTCAGAGTATTCATACACAAAAATAGTATGGACTCATAAATTACTGTTGCTCCGTGAACATACGACTACATTTGAAATTAAATGACCTTTTCATAATATCTCCAATAGCAACAGTATGCCATGCGAACTTTGCCAGCAGATCGAACTGTATCCAGAAGAGCTCGCAGTGGGAAAACTGACAATGCAGCACCTCGGGAATTGCAGACATCCGTCACATCGCCGAACTCATGCCTCTAAATCAACATCAACATACTAGTAATCGCTGAAGGTGGCTCGCGTAACGATAGTTCCCGGCAGTCACAAAGCAGCTGAGTAAGACTAGACGAGTACAATTATTCGACTGCAATGCCTCGCAGGGAAGGGAACAAGCATGTGCTGTCACATTGCTGTGCAGACGTACATATTTGCAGGGAAGTGTATCCCCACGTGTCAATTACGAGTACTTTCAAACGATACGGCAGTTGTCCGAATACATAGCAGGATCATCACGTCAAAGAAACGAAACACATACTACCGAGTCGTACAACGTTCGAATCTTTCGACAACAAATTTTGCGCTTTTTGTTTTTCCATTCGCCAGTACGAATCGGAGTTACTGCCAACCGGCAAATGGACAATTCGCCAATACTGGGACCTGCATGCTGATTGCTAAATGCTTGTAAGGCGATATGATTAGCAGAAGCATCGAAAAAGTTTTTTCCAATACCACACCGCTTGTTTTCGCAGACGATGGAAACACAGACAGACGTACACCGGGTCCAAGATGGCCTGCATGCCAAACAGCACCGCAATGGCACTGCAAAACGTCTGCAGCTTCGACAGCGGAATGAGAAATACGATTTTGTAGTAGATCACACCCGGCAGCTAGCAGAGTGCGATGCTGACACTGAACAACGTCAGGACGACGAATGATCGCGTGCGAATTCGCGCCCGGAGTGGGCCAACCATAAAAGTGAGCTTTTCGTCAACTCCGTGCGAACCTGTTGCCATCTGGATGGCTTGTCCGGTGGCCGACGATCTCCAATGAAGCTTCTTCCACAGCAGAACAGATACGCAACTGATTAGTGATGCAGGAGTTACTGAGCATGCGAACTACGAGAATTATCCGTTTCCACACACCGCACGAGGAACATGTAAACGTGTGGAGTAGCACAAGGATTTTGTAAGTATCGCAGTATTTTGTGCGGTATCAATGGCCGTGTTCGTTCTGCCAGGGAATCTCGGTGGAGATGCCACACCGGTAACGTTCGCCAAAGTTAGTTGTTTTCTAAATGCACAAGTTAATTTTTAAGATCCTATCCTTCGTATCTAACCTGAATAATCGCCATTACGGTACGGCTGTTTGTCCTTTTAGTGACATGCGGCTTCTTTCCTATTTTGCCTATAAACGAATCAAAAGTTAAAAATCAAATACAAAAAATCCGTAGAAAACACAGTGACAGAAATAAAAGGAAAAGCGAAATTGCATTATACGAGTATCTATCTCCGTGTTTGTAACTGTGTACAATGTTATGATTGCGCTTCCCAGTTCTTGTGCGGACTGTTCCCAGTCTTCATTCAGTGCCCAGTAATGACTGCAGTGCTGGGATTATTATGTAGGTATATCGAATGCGGAACTGGCTCGCCGTCGGGCCTTGCGCAATCAACGACTGCAAGCGGCTGCGGAGCAACACGCTGCTGAGCAACGCCGCCAAAGCGTTCGCGCCGGCCACCAGGTGACGATAAATTTATTTACGTATACATATGCTGTACGATCATGTATATAAACGCTCGATGCGTTTGACCGGATGATCACCAAGTTTGATTGCATTCTTACAGCTTTTTTCATCGTCATGATACCATATTTTACAACAACCGTTAACTGTGGTAGCTTGACCTTTACGGCTTAGCCTGCTGCGTACTGGTAACAACGAAGGCTTTCTGGATATGTAAATTTTGTTGAAATCATGCTTGGGACGCCGATAACAGCTGCCACTGTCGCCCCATGAAATGTAAACGTGTATTTGCAAAATATTCTTTTCTACACCGCTTTCTCCGGCAACAACTGATCGTTAGTTTTTCATACGAGTGTGCCTGTAAACTTCTGTTAACTAAAAGAATGGCTGTTTCTGTCACGGTATGGTTAACAGAATAAAAAGATGAAAGAATCGTTTTTTTTTCGATTTCGCGTCCTTTGTGGAAGTTGGTTTGAATTTCGATGTCAACAAGCTATTGTGCAATAAAAGCACATATACGTACAGATATACACCGGTACTAGAGTAACACGCATTAGAATGATTATTAACAAGCACCCGCACATTTTAATATGGGATAACCGAAACGGGACTGAAAACACACGTCTTGGGCTTAACAGTTAATCCATTACAACATAATAATCATGTACGTACTATAATGTATAAATCCGTAGTATATGTGTTTGTACGTAGCCGTAAATACTGACAACTACATTCTGGTAGTACGTAAAGCGAAGACGATTAACTGCAACTACGGCCGTACGCTGTGACCGTGGTGGCACTGCGATGCGGAAAGGTCACGGCGAACGCTGCTATCGCGCGATACAGATATGATAGTAATACACGTAAAAACAAGCAATCCCTGTTCGGGCGGCCCCGGCCCTTAACGCGTCTGTTCTTTCTCAGCGGCCCGCAGTTGCTCCAGCGCACGGACCAGCATCACCCGGCTCCACTGTGTCAGGCTCAGGTAGGCAATGAAACCGCCGCCGTAGCGGTAGGGAGTACCGTGTCCCTTCTTGATGTTCTCGGCGTCCGTCTTCAACAGCTGCTCGATACTCTTCACCGTGAACGCGTTCTCCGCGTCGCCCATCGCCTGGCGTAGGATCCCGCGCAGAGCACTACCGGCGAACCCCGGGTGTCGGTCCTCGCAGCGCACCACGGCCATCTTGGCGGCCAGTGGCCCGTCCCGACACAGATAGCACAACACCGCTCGGAAATAAGCGGTGTTGACCTTCTCCGGGTCCAGGTAGGTGTTGGCCCGGACGTAGTCGAAAGTCGGGAAGGTGTAGTGGTCGTAGGTCTCGGGGGCGGTCCCGTCGCGGATGTTGAGCTGCGCCACGCCCTCGAAGATAGTGATGGCGCGCTGATAGTCGCCCTGCCGGGCCGCCAGTTCCCCGACGGTCAGCCAGGCCTTCTCCGCTGGGTCGCATTTGTGCGTTTTACTACTGGCGGCGTACAGGCGGGCCGCTTGCTCAAAGTAGGCCATCCCGCGGTCGACATCCCCGGCCGTCACCAACTGCCCCATGGTGACGTAGTGCTCGGCGGCCGTGATGAAGGTCCCGGACTCCGTGAGGAACGTGGCCGCCGTCTGCAGACAGTGCAGCGCGGCGCGGTGGTTGTCCGCCTTGAGGAAGCAGTTACTGGCCGCCTGCAGGAGCCCCGTGGCGGTGCATTCGTTGCCGCGTTTCAGTGAGGCCTGGAGGCGGGCAGCGTCCTGGTAGGCCGTGCCGGCGGCCTGCCATTCCCCGGTCAGGTTAAGCAAGTGGCCGGCGCGGCAGTACAGGTCGCGAGCCTCCACGGCGTGGCCATGCGCCGCCGCAGTGTCTGCCGCGTCCAGCAGGCGGTGGGCCCGGCTATTCTCCAACGGCATGGTGTCGTACGCAAAACGGGGTACGGGTGCGCTCATCCTGAAATCATTTGCATTATGAACTAATGGTGTTTGCTCACCATAGCCTTTCAACGAGCGTTTCTACAACCACGGAAAAAAACCAGTTGGTGGGATTAGGAAAGTGTTATATCCCGCTTTTCGTGTCCACACTCACAGAGAAATGAAACTTGAATTTTTTTCAAGAGAAACATTTTATTGAAACATTTTACTTTTTTCTAAGAAAAATTAACGGGAAAATTGCGAACGACCAAGGCAGAATTTAAACGTTATGTGCTGCAGATGATCCAGATACGACGAATAATTTACGTAACTGCGGCAGCCATGTTCCTTACCTAGAACTAACAACAAGATTTCCCGAAAAGCTCTCTGTAATAGAATCGGACAACAAATACTCTGGGTGATTATTTTTGGTCGCACTGTTTACAGTCACTTTACATTACAGGTTACAATACTGTTTATTACCAGTATGATGCGCTGTAAACTGACGGATACACCTTTGCTCAGACGAAGGTTGAAAAAGCACTAGGCAGTGAAAACGGAACCGAGTGCAAAATATGGAGACGCGCCTGCTGTCTGGCTGTCTCTTAGCCCTGTAAAGTACTGTATTCCTGTAATATAGAGAGCAAGACAGAGCGCAAACAATGAATCCTGGTCTGCTTCCCATATGGCCTCCCTTTGCTAAAAGTACAGACTGGGATGATGTCATTCATACCTAGTGGGCAGAGCCACATGGGTCGGATCAGAAGCAAAAGACCTGCTTGCTCTCTCATCTGGGTGTTTGCGTCTGCCCAATCTGGTGTCTATCTATGTGATCTATCTAATGCGGTGCTGTAGAAGCTTCGTTCCCCTCTATATATATCAACCTTTATTGAGTTCCGTTTGCTGTTATGCGGCAAAAAACCCCTATTCCAAATTAGGGGAAAAGGCACGCATAACCTATTCTTTTTTAAAGTTTTGTAAACAAAACTCGCGCAACGGAAGCATCAATAAGGTAAAAGACCGCTTGCTCTCCTCTACATTACACATGAATCTTTTTTTTTGGTAATTTTAAAGAAGGAACTATAGAATATAGAGATTATAAGAGCATATTATGTGGAAAGGACGATCACAATACAATTATGCGGGGTGTATGGCAAGCAACAATGCAACACACACCAACCACATATAAAATGAGCAAAATTATTAAACACACATCCATGCACCGTTCTTCGATGGAGACCCGGAGCGTCATTGGGTGGTTTGCGCTTGGTGGTTGCGTCGGCTGCACACTGTTACCGAGAAGCGAGTAGGGATAAAACGAGTCAGTGTGAAAGCGAGAGAGACGTAGAACAGAGATAGAGTCAGTCAAAGATTCGACGGCAGTGGAATCTCTGTGAGGTTAAACGCACTAGCTGAATACGACAAACATAAGGTTCGATTTAACTTTCGAACACTCTCCAATGTAGCAACGAAACCGATTTTTCCAACATTACATCGAAGTTTCTTCAAAAACTTAAGAAAACGTGAAAGTTTTTCAGATTTCACTGTACGACTATTTGTCAGACACCGAAATATAACTCCAGTTAAGTTTTGGAAAAAACTGAAATTTCAACAAAATATGGAATATTAATTATTAAAATTATTTTGCACGACTACTTATACAGTGAAAGGCTTAGTCGGGCCAGGTGGGAGCCACAGTTTATCGGATCGTTTATTAAATAACGCATAACTACAACAAACAGCAATTTTAGCCATTTTCTTACAGATTAAAGATGAAGTACTAGTGTTACAGCCAGATATTTGTTTGAATAAGCAGGTTAAATTATGGCTCGTTTTTTTGGGAATCATTCCCAATGATCCCACGGCAATGTGATGTTGTTTAACAGTCCACCCTAATGCCGCGAAATCGTTTTCAAGGGAAGCGTATCGTTTATTTTTCCTTAAATCAGCATTGCTAAAACTTTTAACAGTTTCTAAAGGTATTGTTACTTCGACAAGATCAATACGTTTCAAAGATCTATTAATTACAGTGAGATCAGGGAAGACGTTAGTTACAAGAATATCTGAAGGAATAGTATCAACATGCGAGGAATAACAGTCAGGCGCTAGATCGCAAAAGACTTCGGTGTTTTTGTCGGTGTCCTTGATTGCAGCGGTTAGACCATCAGCCAGCGCTTTAACAACACTATTATGTCTCCATGTGAAACGGGCAGACTGTAATGAAACTTGACAGCCATTAAGAATATGTCCAAGTGTGCCCGCTGCCTGATCACATAAGGAACACAAAGGAGACACCAAATTTGCCCCATTTATGGAGATTAGTAAAAGAAGGGGCAACATTCAGCCGGGCTTGGGAAAGAAATAAGCATGTGCTGCGTGGGAGATCGAATTTCAAGGAAGACCAATAATTATCAGCGTCTTCCTCATTAGCAACACGCAGCCAGGCACCTTGTTGTACAAGACTGGCCACGTGTTGCTTTCGCTCCAAAGTAATGATGGAATAAACATGGGAGGTTACCCTGTCTTTGGCGGCGGCACGGGCATTGTTTATTGCGGTGTTACTGCCATCACTGGCCACAACAGCGGCACGGGCTTTCTGAGCTTCGGACTGGATTACTGGGGCAAATTGGTGCATAAGATTAGAAGGCGATTGTAACACTTCATCGGCAGCACACCGCACTACTGGGTCAGCACTGGAGATTAAACAGTCAACAATCAGACCACTTCTGGCTTGATAAGCAATATTTTTAATTGATTCGAAATTAGCGCCTTGTGGCAAAAAAAGCGAATCAGTATTCGCACACTGAGGAAGACGAAGCCATTTTTTCAAAAATTTATTAGTTAAGCTTTGCAATTTATCGATCGCTGCAGTATTTAGGTCATGCACAGTCAGAAGGAAACGCACTGATTGAACAATATAGTTATTGTAAATCCATAGCTTATATTCGTCGCGCAAAGAAAGCTGGTCAGTTTTTAAAAGCAGATCCATTAAACAATTGTTAACGGTTTTTTGCGCGTTTCGACGTTGGTTATTAGAGAAGACATATATATGAACCGAGAAATTTCATTGGCTCCGATTTAATATTGCGCAAAGCAGTTCCGTTAATGAAAAATTCATAGTCAGAGGCAACACCGCCCGTCAGAGAAAAAGATCTGCATTTCGAAACTTTCAAGAAAAGGCCCATATTAACCATTCGCACATTTACATCACGCAAAAGTTTATCCATAGACCGCTTATTATTTGTTGTTAAAGTCAAATCGTCAGCAAAAGCGAGCGCAACGACTTTTTTACCATCGATCTCAATGCCGCAATTGTTATTTTGTTTAAGATATTCGAGCACAGGGTTAAAACAAAGCAAGAACAGAATGCAGCTCATTGAATCTCCCTGAAATAGGCCAACCTTAAAAGGGATAGGATCAGTAATAAAATCGTTGTTCTGAACTTTCACAGATAAGCCATCATAATAAGCCAGAATATACCTTATGTAAGATGCACTGATTCCGTAACGAGAGAGAACATCCTTTAACAGCTCGTGCCTTACTGAACCATAGGCATTCGCGATGTCCAGCCATGCTACATGTAAAGCGCGTTTCAGTTTACGTTGCTTCTCAATAATGTGTTGTAATTTTAAAGAGTGTTGCCCACAGCCGTTCATGCACTCGATAAAGCCCTTTTGCACTGAAACATCAATAATGTTATTCTTTTGAACAAACGAAAGGATCCGGTTGGAAATGACTGTATGCAAAATTTTAGCACAACAACTGGTCAGAGTAATTGGCCGGTAGTTAGAGCAATCAGCGGCGTCGCCAGTTTTATACAAAAGAACGGTGCGACCGACTTTCCACGAAGCTGGTGGATTAGCAGACGATACGATTTTATTGTACATACTAGCTAAAAAATTATGTAACACCGGAAAGTTTTTAAAAATACCATAGCCAAGTCCATCGAGACCGGAGCCAGTGCGCCCTGATTTTTTAAACAGTGCCCTGCTCACTTCCCTGCCCAGAATTGGAGATTCATTAAAAGGAACACACACCTCTGGCATTTTAATTTCATTCAGCCAAGACAAATCGAGCGCTTCGAGATTATCCAGATTGTACGTCTGCCTGAAATGCGATTCGATCTCGGTTTTATTCAGGCAATTTGAATTAGTACCTGAGGATTTCGAAAACTTTTCTTTTATAAAGTCAAACCGATTTTTAAGAAAAAACTTTTCATTGGACTGAATTTCAGAAGCTTTCCTTAGTTCAGCAATCTGATTACATAACCTTTTATTGAGGACGCGGAGATGCTGTAGAGCGAACACATCCTCTTCAGGTAACTGAAAACCACGTGCCTGCAGTCGCCTACGTTTGCGAACAATTTTGGCGATACGGCCAGCTATTTTAAATTTTTCGTCAAGTAACTCACGAGGAACAGATCGCTTCAAAATTTTATCAAAAAAATTTGTTTTCGTCTTACAGTTAAGAATTTTAATAAGATAATTGGCAAGGGACCAGGTTAACAATTCAATATTATCCGATGCAGAAATATGACCCAGTAGTTCAGCATTCTTAAGCCGAGAAGTAATATCGCCCAAAAAGTTTTCAAACCTGACGGAAACTTCAGGAGAGAGCGATTCCCAATCAGGCATAAGGATTTTAGGACGGGAACAATTTTCCTGGCAAATCTGGGCAATACTTGGTGCACGATCGTCATTAGAAATGATTCCGGACAATAAATGATACAAATTATCTACATTTTCAACGGTATAGTTAACAGTGCGGCTATTAGTGGAAGTCATTTTTTTAAAATAATAATTCGCTAATACAAACAATAATAATGATATGATCGGATGGTAACGAACGGGAGAGCAAGGGTGATTGGGTGGAATATTGGCAAATTTCCGTCGGAAACGCCGAATATTGGGCAATCACACGTTGAACGATGAAGTTAAGCAGTCTAACCGAAAGCGAGCAGCACGGTGCGAGCGATGGTCAAGGCTTCAGTCAGTTACCTGCCAGCTGATTATTCGCTCTGGCATCTGATTAACGAATTA